ATGTAGTTAGAGCGTAAGGCAGATCAGGTGTTTCTTCTTCACAAAAGAGTATGTGAGGGTATATTTAAGCAGGGATTCATTAAAAATGTATCATGTTAAAAATAAAGCAGTCATTGAATTCTGATCCATCACACATGTAAACTCAACAAAGTTTATAAATGTTGTGTTGTGGAGTTTAAAATGTGTTTCCAACATCAGTCCCTAAATTTAATTCAGATACTGAAGTAGTGTGTTTGCAGGTGTGCATCTGTTAGAGAGGAAGGCTTAATGTCTGGGTTGAAATTGTCGTGTCCTTTTATTCCTCTCCCGTACTATCAGTTTTCTGGCTTGCTCTTTTAAATTGTTCCCAGATGTTGTTAGAAATGAAGTGTTTTACAATGCTGTTGGATTTCCTTAAATCATGAGATCTGTCTCCTGGCTTGTCATACCCCTTGGGAAATTCGTGCCTGTAGGCTGAGAAGGACTGGTAAATGTGCAGTGCAGCTAAAGTTCTCCTATTTTTCTTTCAGCTGGGGGAAAAGGAGGGAGATAGGGAGGGCAGAAGCATCATGTTTTTTGAGAGAGATTTTTAATGTCAACAAATTCAGGTACCGCAAATGAGAGGATTTATCAGGAAATGTATTTTTCAATATCTTTGAGTGTCATCTTTATATTTTCTAGTGGGAATTTAAGAAGTTATTTTGGATGAAACTGTTGAGTTTTTACCAAAGTGCAATTTTGTCACTTGTTTACTGTCTCTAGTAGTATTGGCTTAGTGTTCTTGTAGTATTGTCATGCTTCTACATACATTTCTAGTATACCTTCTGTAATACACTGCTATGTTAGGTTCAACCATATCTTCTGATCAGTCTCCATAGCCCTGAATTATTGGGAAAATAGCTCATGTTTCTTGGACATAAACAGTTGTCAAAAAGTACTTGCATGCATAAAAGACTAAATGGCTTTAGTAACTCTCAAGCTAAAGTTGTTGCTTTCTGGTTGTACCTTGGATGTAATAAAATCTGGGGAATGTTTGAAATATTTAAAGCCCTATCTGGCACGTGAGGAAAATAGTTGGCAAAGACTTCTATATAGTATAGTTTTGATTAGCTTGGAAGGATAGTATACCTGTAATGACTTCCTGAAATTACACAGCTACTTAATATAACCTGTGATAGCATGAAGCTTTATAGTGGTCTGTTCTGGGGGAAAAATCTGAAGTCCTTCTATGTAAATCCAGCTGGTGTAGTGAGGGATTTTGAGTTAGCTATGACTGTTAAAGCAAGGAGCTAGGAGATTAATTTGCTCAGCTAGGGGCTTCTTTTTCTTTGTGTAGTTTATTTTATATATTCTGGAAGTGACAATATCAAAGTGGTATCTTCAGTTTACAGTATATAAAATAATTTTTGTATATGTAATTTTGAATTTTATTTTAATTATGTAATAAAAGTGTGAGCTGGTATTTTTTTACCTTTTTTGAAAGTGGGTCCTCCGTGTCAGTTTTACATAATTCCATTGATTGAAGCCATACATTAACATGATGTTTTCACACCGTGGATGGAAAGGCTCTCATGGGGGCAAGGGTGTGATAACATGAGCTTCAGTGAAAGGACAGTATTGACTGCAGTAAATTCAAGGTTCATTCACTGCAATTGCCTTGTTTAGTTTTTATACCAGTATTTTTGCAGATGCTGGTTTCATAAAGGAATGTTCTAAATGTCTCTGATATGAGTAGTTAGTGGTTAGCTTTTATGGAAGATTAATGTAGATTAATCTTCTTGACATTGGTAGGAATAGAAACAAGGCAGTGAAGACTTGTGCTGTTGAGGACTACATGTCAGAAAATGACCTATTAATAGTATAATAGCAGTTTGTACTTCTTATTTTGTCCTTTATAATCTCCTTACCTCATGCTAAAATGGATATTCAATTAGTCTCTACCATGTTGCTATTACAGTAACTTTCCTTTGCAGTCTATGATGAAGTAAAATCATTGTGGTGGTTTTTGTTTGTTTGTGATTTTAACTTAGATGGCGGAAACATTCATATCCATGTGTTTGTGATCTTCAGTATTGTTACACAATCTCAAATTTGCTTTGATTCTTTAAACACAGCAGTTTGCACAGATGGGGGGAAAAATTAAGTGAACATTGCTCTTGGATCTTCCATTCTTCTTGAATCTGATTCGCTGTGCTCTTCAAAGATCTGACTTTAGTTTCCTTACCTCTGAAACACTCAATAAAATTACCTAATTTAGTTTAAAGGTTTCTTTGTTCTGCATGATTTAACTAGCAGAACTGCTGTCTTGAAAGTAAGACTAATTAAATATTCAGGATGCTTGGAAAATTGGTTATAGTTCTTGAAATTCATAGCAGAGTTATGTCTGTGACATAGAGAGTTATGAAAAGCTTTGCTCTTTGAGTAAAATGCCAGTCCTTTTTGGCTTAACACCCTCTAAGAGAAGGTGCACATAAAACCAAACCCAAGCACCCCAAACAACAAATGGAATAGTCTCATCTCTGCGGAGTAAATGTAAGTAAAATAAGTATTTATGTCTATGTAATTAAGGAAGTGCTTGTGTCACGTAGTAATGCCAGTGTAAGAGCACACACTGACTTACTTGGGGTGCTTATATTAAACTGCTTTACTAGACAACCAGCACCTTCAGATAACCCATTTGAAGTAAATCACAATTACCAGGCAGTTACTGCTTTTGATTTTGTAATTTAATCATTCTGTGTCCAAGTGCATTGCGTGTCTTTGCTGCATAGCTGGTTTTAAAGTTACACATTGACTGCAGTATAGAGGTGTCTAGGCCGCTTAAGAACCAGTTAGGAAAAACAGGCATGTATATCTAGTAAAGATGATTCCTCACATGGTAAAAGACATCTTTGACTTAAAGCTTGGGAGGTATGTATGGGAGTGAGTTAGCAGACGGTTGCTACACATTTGTGATTTCATGGGGAACTGGAAGAACATTCCACATTTGAACCTACTGATTTGTGAATCAGACTTTTGAACACTAATTTATGTGAATAAGACAAGTGTAGAATTATGATACAGGCCAATGTAAGAAATTCATATTTATTTATTCTTCTGAAGCAGAAATGTTAAAACTTTCAAGTGCAATGATAAGATCTTGTGATTGACTGTGAAGGTATTCATGAAATGTAAAATGATAACGTTTCAAAATGAAGAGAGAACTGTTCTTGAAACATACAGTAACTGAATATCCACTCTATTGAGTAATTTGTGCTTTTTGAAAGCCTGATTTATGAGGAACTAGAAGTTTATGTAATCACACTTGCGTTCTTTCATTCAGCAGTTGCTCTTGTAAGTAACTTTCTGAAGCTGAAGACAAGGCAAATTTGAGATAGTTCAGAATTGTAAAGTTCCTGCATGTTCTGGGAAGAGCATTCATTTGGTACTGGGGTTGCTTCAGCTGTTTATGTAGTAACTGCTGTACCATTGCAAACTAATGTCTGTCATATTGAGGAAAAAAAATGCTACTGAATTATGTTAATCAGCCTAACTGTGAACGGATTTAATCTCTGCTGCTACTTCTGCCTCTTCAGTTGAGCTGTCCAGGCTGCAGACAGGGGCTCGCAGGCAAGGCTGGGTCAGTAGCTGTGAGCAGAAAAAATTGCTGTTATCCCTGAGTAAGCTGGTGCTGCTAGTACTCTTGAACTCTGCAACTTTCTACCTTCATCAATACTATATTAGAAAAATAGAACATTAAAGACAAAGAAGGAACGTTTGTTTCAGCTTACACTGGGTGCCTCTGTTAGTGTATTGTATTTATAGTAGAAAGCAATGTGGTTTGAATAACAGTTTCTATAACTTTTCTATCTTGTTTCTCAGCTTTGTGTTGCTAAATTTTTCCTTGCTTATATCTGATTTCAAATTCATCCTTATATTGAAAAGTATTAGTCCTTCTGGTGGTCCTACCTAATGTTGGAATTAAGCACAATGCAATTTTAGAGGAACTCTACTGTTCTGATAGGCACAGATTTGTTGCTTGCTATGTACCCTTAAGAGCTTAGAGCATTCAATAAACTGTGTAAACAGATTCACTAACTAGTCGTGATTCTGTCGTGGTGTCCACAACAGAGATGAAAATACTTGTTTTTATAAAGATGGGGAGTAACTGTTTTCTTTCATCATTTCCATTTTAGCTGTGACCTGGATTAGTCTTAAGGGTGCTGTGGAAATACTTTTGAAGTGGGGATAGAACCTATAAGAAATAAAAGATAATATTCAAAAGATGCATTATTTTTTTTTTTTTTATTATAAGATCACATAAATATTTTGTAGGCTTTTTGGTAGGTTAAGTCTTGAGGGATGAAGGGGGCTGGGTGGTAAAAGAAAAAGGAAAGAAAAAGGTGTGAAAAGCATAAGTCTCTTCAGTTACGTCAAATGCCCGTCTTACAAATTATTTGAGAAGAAAGGATTATCTTGTATTTTTTGCAGCCCACGTTCAAGTTATTCATTAATTGATATTTGTCCTGTTTTAAGAATTACAATGGAGATGTAATTCTCCATCCTAAGTTGTGTTTTGCAGAACAAATGGATGTCCCCAAAATGAAAATTGATCATTTCCTGAGAAGACAAGTCTTTTTTTTTTTAAATAGGGGTGTCAGAATTGAGCTAAACTCCATATTTCTATTTGTATAGATTTCCCTTGTAGTTTCAACTAGATATAATAATTTAATATATGTGTATTAAAGTATATAAAACTATAATTTAAATGTTATTGAAATAGACTATATTTAATCATAATAATATTTTAGTTTGAAATGCTGGATAAAATTATTGTTCAGCAGTTCTCATTGTGTCCAGAGGTGGTTTCATTTCAGCGGTGGGTTAAACTGTGCTTAAGCTGCTCTCATTTCAGATTGCTATGTAAATATACCATTTTACTTAGATTTCAAGTTGTTGCACTTATCTGAAAAAAGGAAGTATCATCTTTAAAAATCACAAAATAGAGGAAAAAAAATCTCTTACTGTCTCTTTCTTTTTAGAGAGGATCTGACGAACTTCTTTCAGGCAGTGTACTCAATAGCCCGAACTCTAACATGAGCAGCATGGTAGTTACTGGTAAGTGATGCCCTTTCAAAGGAGAAATCTATAATTTATACTTGGACTCATTTCCTTTTTACGAGGGGAGAACACTGAAACAAGAATCTGTTGTGCTATAGAGGGATAAACTGTTGGCATGTATTAGACTATAGTGACCTTATATATATTCACAAACCTTGGGTATCTGAGAAGAATAACCCCATAAAACAGGAGGCAACTTTGAGATGTGTGCGCACTAAATTGTTGGTGGGTGACGGGATGAAAAATTACACTTGTCTTGTACAACTGCTTTTAAAGTAAGGAATCACAATTGCCAAGCGAAGGTAAACAGCTTAACTCCTCTGTGACATCAGCTTTTTCACACTTCGACGTCTGCAAGTCTGGGCATTACAAGGAAGAACACTGTGCCAGTTTTATAATACAGTGTGGATTCAGGAGAACAAAGTTTTCCTCTGTTCTGGTTGACTGCTAAAGCAGGAAGCTTCACTTTGCTCCTACAGTTTGAGATCGCAGTGGTAGAATGTCAGTGCAAAGTGAATATGGTTATTCTATAATCAAATTTCTAGTGATGCAAGATAGGTTTTTCATTAATTGGCACTTACTAAAATGTCTTTTTTTGCAGTTGATGCTGTATGTTGAATGTGCATTGAGTTCTCTTGGAAAGCTCATTTTAGAGGTCTTGCTTTTTCCCCCCCCCCCTTCATCCTGTTAGTTGTTTTCTTGTGTTTGGT